TAATTAACTTGGAGTGTTGAGTTTCATAATTTATCGAAAGACCAACTGAGAATCAATCTTGTATGCAAGTATAACATGTGTGGAGATGAACCCCTTGGCTATTCCATCATCCATATTTTCATCTCATTCATATTTACGTTTTGCCTTTAATTACAATTTGTCCATTTAATTTAATCTCGTCCAAACACAATCCCCCCTTTACTTTATTGTCAAATTAGTTAGAAATCAATTTAGTTTAGTGTTTTATATTGTTTTTACGTTTTTGAGTCAAAAATCCAAGTGATTAACAATCCCTCCTAATCCCCGGTCCAGAACGATCCCTACTTATACTTATACTACAATTGACAAAAAGAGGGTTTAATTTGAGTGTGCGCGTATAATTCTCGCATCAATGCCCAGAATAACCCAGATTTAATCATGGGTACGTTAAATAGCCTTGGTCACTTTGCTAGAGTGTTGATTGATTGTGGTGCTACTCAATCAGTTATTTCTCATACATTTGCTCAATTAACGCAACCTAATCCCACACCTCTCGGGTTTGAGTTAGAGTTTTCGATGCCTAGAGAAGAGACGTGTCAGGTGGGCTGGATGTACCGGGGTGCCCAGTGTTAGTGGAGGATGAGGTTATTCCAACTAACCTCATTCCGTTGGATATTGTTGAGTTCGATGTCATTTTGGGCACTGATTGGCTACACTATAATCGAGCCAATATTGATTGTTATGAGAAGAAAGTTATGTTTCATCACCTGGGGCTACCTATGGTTACGTTTGTTGGCGAGCGTAGCGGTGTGAGACACGACATTATTTCGGCAGTGAAAACCAAGAAGTTGCTACAGAAGGGTTATCAGGGATATCTGGCACATAAACGTTTCCAGCCACGTGGAGGACATTAAAGTGGGCAGACATTTTCCCGATGTGTTTCTGGATGATTTACCTGGATTGCCGACGAATCGTGGCGTAGAGTTCGTTGTCGACTTATTGCCAAGTACAGACCTTATATCCTTGACTCCCTATCGGATGGCTCCTGCTGAGTTGAGAGAGTTGAAAATTCAGTTGCAGGATTTACTAGATAAAGGTTTTATACAACCCAGTACTTCACCTTGGGGAGCTCCAGTCTTGTTCATGCGAAAGAAGGATGGTACCTTAAAGCTGTGTATAGACTATCAGCAGTTGAACTGGGTGATGATTAAGAACCGTTATCCATTGCCACATATCGACGATTTGTTTGATCAGCTACGAGAAGCTTGTGTGTTTTCGAAGATCGATTTAAGGTCTGCTACTATCATCTGAAGATTAAGAGTGAGGATGTCCCTAAGACGGCGTTTAGAACCCGTTATGGTCATTATGAGTTTTTAGTGATGTCGTTCGGGTTAACTAACGCACCTACTGCTTTTATGGATTTGATGAATCGAGTATTTAAGTAGTACTTGGACAGGTTTGTCATTGTTTTTATCGATGACATTTTGATTTATTCCAAATCCAAAGCAGATCATGTGAGAAATCTTACTTTAGTGTTGAAGAAACTAAGGGAGCATCAGTTATACGCTAAATTTAGTGAATGTCAATTTTGGTTAGATCAAGTAGCGTTCTTGGGACATGTTATCTCAGCTCAAGGTATTCTGGTTGATTCTTAGAAAATTGCAGCGGTGGAAAATTGGGAGCAACCACTAACCATCTCCGAAGTACGGAGTTTCCTTGGTCTGGCATACTATTATAGACAGTTTGTTCAGGATTTTTCTGTCATTGCGTTACCATATACGAGGCTAACCAGGAAGAACGTTAGATTCGAGTGGGATGATAGTTGCGAGCTAAGTTTTCAACAATTGAAGTATTGTCTCACTCATGCACCGGTGTTAGCACTTCCAGATGATATTGGTAACTTTGAGATCTACAGCGATGCGTTGTTGAATGGTTTGGGCTGCGTACGAATGTAACACGGCAGGGTTATCGCTTATGCTTCGAGACAACGGAAGCTTCATGAGATGAACTATCCTACTCACGATCTTGAACTGGCGGCAATTGTGTTTGCATTGAAGATTTGGAGACACTATCTTTATGGTGAGAGATGTAGGATCTTCACAGATCATAAGAGTCTCTAGTACCTGTTCACTCAACGGATTTGAACCTTCGCCAGCGAAGGTAAATGGAGCTGCTAAGTGTTTACGCCTGCACGATTGAGCATCACCCGGGACGTGCAAATGTCGTGTCTGATGCACTTATTCGGAAATCTGAAGGTATAATTGATGCTTTTTACGCAAGTCGTGTTCCTCTTCTTACTTATTTGAGGTCGACTGGAGCGAAGTTAGAAGTAGAAGCTCAAGAGAAAGCTTTACTTGCTCACTTTCAAGTCAGGCCAATTTTGATTGACCGTATACTCGAGGCACAGATGGATGACGATGAAACTCAGGAGCTGATTCGGCTAAGAAGTTAGTGGAAAATGAAAGCCCCTTCGGATTCGAGAATCAGATGGCATGCTCATGTTAGAAGGTAGAATGTTTGTACCGAACAACGCAGAGTTAAAGAGGGATATTTTGGATGAGGCACATGTATCGGCATACGCTATGCATCCGGGGAGCACTAAAATGTGTCATACCATACGACCATTTTACTATTGGCCGGGTATGAAAAGAGAGATTGCTAAGTATGTTAGCAAATGTATTGTATGCCAGTAGGTTAAAGCTGAGAGAAAGAAGCTGTTTGGACGGATGCAACCACTTCCCGTTCCAGAGTGGAAATGGGAAAACATTACCATGGATTTCATGTATAAGCTTCCTTGTACATGAAATGGTTATGATGGCGTTTGGATAGTGGTTGATCGGCTCACCAAGTTCACGCCATTTTATTCCAGTTTAAGAGAAGTTTTCCCTGAAGCGGTTAGCTAAGCTCTTTGTGTCGAAGATCGTTAAGTACATGGTGTACCAGTCAGCATCATCTCTGATCAAGATCCAAGATTCACTTCTAAATTCTGGACAGCATTTCAAGAAACTCTTGGTTCGAGATTACTGTATAGTACGACATATCATCCTCAAATAGACGGGCAATCTGATAGGACCATTCAGACGCTGGAGGATATGCTGAGATCCTCTGTTTTGCAATTTGGCAATGCATGGCATAAACGTCTGGATCTGGTGGAGTTTGCCTACAACAACAGTTACCATTCGAGCCTTGGTATGTCCCCTTTCGAGGCATTGTATGGTAAATCTTGTCGTACGCCGTTGTGTTGGTCAGAGGTAGGCAAAAGAATTTTGGACGGCCTAAAGATAGTGGATGAGACTACCCAAAATATTTAGGTAATCAAGTTTAACCTAAAAGTGGCCCAGGATCGTCAGAAGAGCTTAACGGACAGACATGCCATTGATCGGACCCATAAAGTAGATGATTGGGTATTCTTGAAGTTGTCGCCATGGAAGGGTGTTGTACGATTTGGGAAAAAGAGGAAATTGAGTCCTCGGTATATCGAACCGTATAAGATTAATGAACAAATTGGCGAAGTAGCTTATAGACTTGGGTTACCTCTAGAGTTGTCTCGAGTGCACGATGTATTTCACGTTTCGATGCTTCGTCACTATGTCTCGGATCAATCACATATGCTACCCCCACAGCCGTTGGAAATTAATCTTGATTTAACTTACGACGAGGAGCTGGGGACTATTCTAGACTGGAAAGATAAGTTCTGAGGAACAAGACAATGCATTTGGTGAAGATTTTGTGGAGGAATCAATCGGTGGAGGAGGCCACCTAGGAGACAAAAGAGCGGACGAAAAAAATGTATCCACGCTTGTTTTACGAGTATGAGTGGATTGTAATTATTGTATAAATTTCAAGGACAAAATTTTCTTAAGGTGGGTATGTTGTGATAGCCCATCCCGAATTATTTGTAACGTTAATGTGAAAAGACAATTTTGCCCCTGGACGTTAATTTGCGTTGTAGGGTGTTTGATTTGTTTTTGGTTGGTGGGTTGCCATTTGGACCACACACACACTCACACACATCTATCTTTTTCTCCCGTGACTCTCTCTCTTCTATCTCTCTCGGATTTCTTCCATTCCTTTGCAAGTGTATGAACAAACTTCGAAGCCAACTTTCCACACACGGATCGAAGGTTTGAAGGTTGGTTTTGGGCTCCTAGCAAGCCCAGGAGCTCATCCATACCATTTTTAGAACTTGAAACCCTCGAAAACCCGATAACCCAGTTTTCATGCACTTGTGATCGCAGAGGTTTAATCGAGCTTTGAGGTTATAGGGATTAAAACCTTCTCACAAAGCTCAAAGATCAAGTTTGAAGGATTTTGGACGTTGCGATAGCAAGTTCTAAGGTTGGCTGGATTTTGTGGAATTTCTTCGGTGTGATTCCAGCGTTTTTGGTGCTTTCTTAAGCTTCATTTTGGTACAAATTTCATGGATTTTGGTTGAGACATGAAGAAGATATTGAAGTTTGCAGTTTTTCCAGAAACCGGTGAAAATTCGAGTTACAGATGGTGGCGCTGACGGCTGCGGACGGCAACGACCGGCGAGGCTCACCGAAGAAGAACTCGAATATTCTGTCAGAGTTAACGGAATATTCTAATGGCATTAGGTAATGGCCGTTAAATTTTGTTAGGGTTTTAACGGAATATTCTTAACGGCCGTTAGGAATCAGTTAGGGTTAGCCGCGCGTGGATGGTCGGAAAATTTTTCTAAAAATATGGGGATGTTCGTGAGGTTGAGTAGATCATGTTGGTATATTCAAACACCCTAATTGAGCAATATATGAGAAGTTATTACCTAAGGTTGGTTATGTGCGTTAATTGACGGTTTTATAGTTGTTTCGCATATAGGTGAGGACTATCCGGAGGACGAGCGCAGCCACTTGAGGCTCGGGGCTTACGACCCTTCTACGTATCAGTGAGTGGGCTTTTGTGTTCAGTATATATATATATATATATATTATGATTGGTATCTTTCCAAAAATTACGTTTTAATGATTTTTATAATCGAAATGGTTTATAATTGAAATGCGATGTCGAATATGGTCGATATTATTATTATTGTGATTGTGTTGGTTATGCTTTGGTGCCGCGGACGCTCAGGCAAGGCAGGTGAGTATCTTGTTAGTGATAGATATGGGGTTGATGAGATTAAGTTGTAGCTTATATTCCTGCACCTCAGTGATTGTGCTTCGCCAGAGTAGGGCCTAGCCTTCATGTGATCGTTCATCTCCCGCACCGTACATTCACCTTGGATCCATGGCAGGTGTCAGCCTGTTGTACAGACCACTATAGGTGGTTCCGACTCGTAGGTGACTTGTGATACATCGCACAGCCTTCATGTGATCGGAACACTAAGCGTAATTAGATACACCAGCCTGTCGTACAGACCCCTATAGGTGGTTCCAACTCGTGTGCAGGATAGTGGTTGAGGAGCTATAGATTCAACCATACAGATCACTTTAGGTGACTCCCATTGAGGTACTGATATTATCGACATATTATGATTTGTTTTATCTCACATGCTTGATGCTTATACTATTTGTTTGGATATTCTGAAACGGCATATCTCTGGCATGGCATATTTGAGCTTTATTGTTTTTAGCATGATTTGAGATACGAGTACATATAATATTTTCTGGAAAGTATACGGGCTTTACAGAGAGGGGTTATTACTTGATATTGAAATGGTTTGAAAAACAAACTTTGTTATTGCCCACTCACGTTTTCTGTTTTATGCCCCTCCAGGTTTTAGGTAGTAGGGTGATGAACGAGGCATCGAGGCATTTCTGACAGAGCACCCTCCATGTAGGATTTTCTAGTTATCACTGGTGTAGTGTTTGTTTATTCTGGACTGCACCTAGGATACTTGAACTTCTACTTTGCATTTTTCCTTCTGTGTTTGTCACTAGCACTCACTAATCATTTTATTGTAAATTATTTTGTTGACTTTATTTCCTTGTATTTTCATTCTTTTACTTACCCTCACGTGATGGCCAGCACGCCCCAAATTTTGGATTGGGGTGTGTCAATTGTGCACGAATCAAACATATTTTTAAACATTCCAAAAATATGAATATTCATTTTAATATAGTTTATAATTGGGTATGTTCTAATTCGGGGTTGGTACGTTTTCATTTGATGTTGGTACGTTTTCATTTAATGTTGGTACGTTTTCATTTGACGCCTGTGTACATTTAGAATTGAAAAGTTTAAATTTGTAGACTTAAATATAGTTGAAATTATTTAAAATATCTAGCAGATATTTAAATGTAAATTAATTTCAATTAATCTGAAGTAGTTCAAGTCTGAGTATCTTAATCAAATGTTTCAAAAACTTAATAAAAAACTCAAAAATCATAAATGTTTAGTCTACAGAAGTCTAAAATGAGACATCTAATTCTAATTTTCTCTTTATTTTATCATTTAAATTTTATTATTTTAAATGATAAATTTTATAATTTTTTTAATGCCTGGCACAAGTGGACTGCCACATTAGCAAATATATGGGCCCTACATTTGCCGAATCATCACTTAACGGCCAATTTGACAGAATCACTAACGGAGGTATGACATTGCAACGAATTCATAAGTTAATGTATGACATTGCAATGTTTAAAACATGAGATATGAAATTGTGGTGTGACTCATAATTGAGGTAGTTTTATGTAATTTACCCTTCATTTTTCTATGAAATAAATCAAAAACTCTCTCTCTCTCCATAGTATAGTCTTATAATTTGTTTCTACGCGTAACAACTTCTACCACGAAGAAGATGAATCAACAACGACTTTTACCTACCGAGTTTTGCTATTGCGTATTATTAATATTTTTTCTAATGTTGTTGAATTGATATTATTCAGGTTTAAATAAGAATGAGAAACCTGCTGGCATCACACCTACAATAAAATACAAGTGCTTCTCAAAACTCGAGGCAATATTATTCTTAATCTATTATCACATAAAGTTCATCGCTGGTCTGCTACAAGAAGGCGAAAATTACCAAGTCGCAACGAATAATACCCTTGACAACTATACCTCGGACAATCGTCATCTTCGGTGCAAGAATACCGGCCTGTTCCCTCAAAATCCATCAACCGCTCTCGCTGTTTACTATATATAGGTGTTTCAAATGGTAGACTAACACCAACAAGTTACACTTCCAAGTTCTTCTTGACACAAAGTAAAGATGGAGAACAAAAAGGGTGCACAAATAATCTTGCATGCTTTTTATCTTCTTGGTTTAACTTCTATGTTTTTTGCATCACTAGCAGTAGCAGACTATGAAGAAGTGGTGCTGGAACAGCTAGCTGATGTGACAAATGATGAACAAAACAGCATGCAAACTTATATAGTTTGGGTTGAAAAGCCGGTCTCTCAGAAATTTTCTCTGCAATCGAATGAAGATTTAGAGAGCTGGTACCAGTCATTCTTGCCTGAAAGTATTGCAAGCTCAAACCAACAGATGAACCAGCGAATGGTTCATTCATACCGCAACATAGCGACAGGTTTTGCTGCAAAACTGACACCCGAGGAAGTGAGAGAAATGGTAACAAAAGAAGGGTTTGTCTCAGCTCGTCCACAAAGAATTCTGCCGTTGCAGACTACTCATACTCCTGACTTCTTGGGGTTGCACCAAGGGTCTGGACTTTGGGAAGCAGCAACTTACGGTAAAGGTGTAATAATTGGACTTTTAGATACCGGGATTGTACCAGATCATCCCTCGTTTAATGACGAAGGAATGCCCCCTCCTCCAGCAAAATGGAAGGGCAAGTGCGAGTTCAATGAGACATTGTGCAATAACAAGCTTATTGGTGCAAGAAATTTCATAGGCGTAGGCAAAGGCCAACCAAAACGAAGATTTCCATTTGACATAGCTGGTCATGGAAGCCACACATCTGGCACAGCTGCCGGAAGGTTCGTGGAAGGTGCAAGCGTGTATGGGCAGGCCAATGGCACAGCTGCTGGCATGGCACCATATGCTCACTTGGCAATGTACAAAGTCTGCGAAGGCTTTGGTTGTGCCGATGCTGACATTTTTGCTGCTCTAGACGTTGCTATTGATGATGGAGTTGACGTGCTTTCCCTCTCACTTGGTGGCCCCTCACTTCCTTTCTATGATGATGTAATTGCAATTGGTGCATTTGCAGCAATTCAAAAGGGAATTTTTTTCAGCTGCGCAGGTGGAAATTCGGGTCCTTGGAATCGCACCTTATCAAATGAGGCGCCATGGATTCTCACAGTTGGAGCAAGCACCACCGACAGAATATTAACATCTGGATTGCAGATTGGAGACGAAAAACAGTATCATTTTGACGGAAAATCTTTGTCCCAGCCTGAAGATTTTGATTCAACAGTTTTGTTACCTCTCGTTGATGCGAGCTCATTTGGCAACCAATCATCTTTTTGCAAGGCAGGGTCTCTCGAAAATGTTGAAGGGAAAATAGTGTTGTGTGAGACAGGTGGAGGAGTAACAAATATTGCCAAAGGGGAAGAAGTGAAAAGAGCTGGTGGTGCAGCCATGATTCTTATGAACAAAGAGATTGATGGATTTAGCACCTTGGCTGAAGCTCACGTGCTACCAGCAACACATGTGAGTTACGCTGCAGGGTTGCAAATTAAATTGTATATAAGTTCAACCTCAACACCTAAAGGTACAATCTTGTTCAACGGCACTGTCATCGGAGATGCGCTTGCTCCCAAAGTTGCTTCCTTTTCATCAAGAGGACCAAACATTGCAAGCCCCGGAATTTTGAAACCTGATGTCATTGGACCCGGTGTTAGCATCCTAGCAGCATGGCCTTATAATGTGGATAATGTCACACATCCGAATCCCAAGGCATTATTTAACATCATTTCGGGTACCTCAATGGCCTGTCCTCACCTAAGTGGCATTGCCGCCTTGCTCAAGAGCACCCACCCTGACTGGTCACCAGCTGCTATTAAATCAGCTATCATGACTACCGCTGATGTATTAAACCTCCTAGGCTCACCCATCGTGGATGAAAGTGGCCTTAAACCCGCCGACGTCTTTGCAATTGGTGCAGGCCATGTTAACCCTTCAAAGGCGAATGACCCGGGGCTCATCTTCGACTTAAAACCAGAGGATTACATTCCTTACTTGTGTGGTTTGAATTACAATGACACAGCGATAAAGATCATCACCCAACAAGCAGTGAAATGCTCCCAAGTTGGAGCCATTCCAGAAGCACAGCTTAATTATCCTTCATTTGCTATTACAATAGGCCCCAATCAGACTCGGACTCAGTATTATACAAGGACTGTGAGGAATGTCGGGCCAGCTACTTCAACCTACAATTTGGAGCTTTTAGTACCACATGAAATGGGCATGAGTGTGAATCCTCAGGTGCTTACATTCACAGAGGTTAACCAGGAGATTACATACAATGTCGAGTTTAATGCACATGACGGCGCAGGGAAGGATGGTGTACCATTTAGTCAGGGATACTTGAGATGGTTTTCCGATAAGCATAATGTTACTACCCCTATAGCTGTGCTCTTTGACTCTTAAATAAAATCAAAATTTAGTCCTCTAGAGCAGTTGGGATTAATAAAAGGAGTTTGTTGTAGCGAGTCAAGATCGAGAATGTCAACTGTTCGATTCCCTACCTTGTATGAAAAAGAAATTGGGCCTGGAGAAGCCAATAAAAGTGCACATGAAGATTTTCGTTGAAAATAAACTTAAAGAACATTTATTCAAAGATAGGGAGAGACAACTGCTTTCCTCCCTTCTCCATCCAAAATATAAATTCATCACAAGAAGACCAAATTTAGCAATGGCAAGAGCCACCTGATTAAAACTACGTGGATTAAACCGACAAGATAAATCCTCGAATTGTGCCATCAACCTAAACCTTTCATTACATACACTAGTAGAAAAAATTATTTGCACGACAAATTTTCGGGTGACAAAGCAAATATCTTCGGGCAATTAACACTAGCACGACAAAATTAACTAGCGATCCCGCAAAAATAGCTTAAAACAAAAGTAAAAAAACCTATGCGACAAATACTTGCGTCGCACAAGGCAACTTTGCACGGCGAAGACAAACTTTCATCGCACAAAGAGGAAGAAAAAAGGTGGGTAAGGTGAGTTTTTGGCCGAGCAACTCACGCGAAGAAGATTTTCCCGCTACAATCTTGTGCGAGGACATCTCGTCATGCAAGGGGATCTAAAATGGCAACTTGAACGTTTCTGGCAATGTGATTACTGCAACCTTTGTGTGACATAGTGTTCATCATCTTGCCCGATGAACACTTCGTCTCACAAAGTGCTTTGAAAATGGCAAATAAACTTTTCGACCGATGTAATTATTGCGGCCTTTGCATTAACAGGTTATCTCCCTCTTTTACTCACTTTGTTTTCCCAAAATCCTCTATTTCCCTTTTTTTTTTCTTTTGCCACAAACTCCTTGTATCGATGGCCGATTCCGCCAGTGGTCCGAGTCAAGGGTGTGAGGGAGAAGGAGTTGGGAAAAAGAAGGCAAAGGTTACACCTAAAAGTGTCAGAAAAGGAAATAATGACGAGCGCAAGGGAATCAATGTGAATGATTTCAGCAGATTTGAGAGAAGTTGTATGCTGAACTTGTGCACGAGATTGGGTATGCATTGTGGAACAAATGTCTTACAGTCAAGTGGGCGTCTTGGAAGAAGGTATCGAAGGATTTGAAGAAGTCTATGTTGGATGACTTAGCAGTAAGTGGGAGTTAATATATTAGTAATTATTTTTGTAATATAATATATTACGATGTTTAATTTTTAATTAGTTTATTTGATAAAAGGAGTTGTATATTATTGATGAAACAGAGCCGAACTTGATGAGTTTTGTGGATGATATATTCAAGAGACGTTAATGCCAGTGGAAGTATGGCGTAGCCCACTATGGAGAAGCACCACCAGCAGAGTAGTGTTTTTTCCGATGTTATGGACGAATAAATTAGTTTTATAATTATGTATTTGTGGATAATACCATTAAATAATTACTTAATTTCTATTTGGATTAATAATTTAATATGGACATTAAGTATTTATTTTCTTTTGTCTAAAAAATGACTTTCAAAGTACTATTATTGACAGGTCACCATACTTTGTAGTTAACTAGCTTCCTCAAGTAGCATAGATTTTGCAAATCTGTGCTACTTGGAAAAGGTAGTTAACTGCAAAATTTGATGACCTTACCAATTCTAATATTTTGAGAATCTACTTTTTAGAAGAAAGAAAATAAATACTTAATGTTTCGTCACACAAGTGTTTGGGCAACGAATATTTCGTCACTTAAGACACATTTGCATGACGAAACAAGGTATTCGTTGCCAAGTGATGTTGCTATTGTTGGTGGGAATTTAAGGTGCAACATTTACTGTTCACGTTGCGCGATGAATGCTAACCCTTTTCTGAAATAGACGGTCAGGCTTTTAACGCGTAGTAATTTTTACGAACTTTGCATGACAAAGGCCCCAGGAGTCTTTAAAAGCACAGATTCTGTCTCCCTTTTCCACACAATGGTTTCTCAAAATTCTTAAAGTTCTCCTCCCCATTTTTGTCCTTCCCGAATCCCTTGTATCCCAATTTTTGTTTTAATTTTTCAACAATGGTCGATTCCACCATTCCTCCATCAGTGGGATCCAAGGGCGAAGGATCGCAAAAAGGTAATAATAAATTTTTGTGGATTTAAGAGTTATAATTTTTTGCTAGAAAAATAATTGTTGGATTAATTACGTAGTTCAATAATGAAATTTATCTTTTTCGTAGGAATAAAAACAAAGACAACTTCGGGGCAGGCACGATTGGTGATTGATGGCTGACGTAAGAAAGTAAGCAATGATGTTTAAGGTATATGGGATGGAGGTGCACGCCGTGCTGAAGCATGACGTTGAAGTACTAGTGAGGACTACTTGTCCTACGGAGTGGAAGTCTTGGAAATTGGTGTTAGTGTAGTTGAAAAAGTATTTGTGGGATGAGTTAGCAGTAAGTGCGGATTAGTAAATTAATATTTAATTTTGTTAAATAGGATGATTGATTAATAATTAATTTTTTTTTTCCATAACATGGTAATTATGTTATTGATGAAATCGATCCAAAGCTAATAAAGTTCATCAACAATATGTGCAAGGGGTATTTTCGGGAGTGGAAGTATGATGTCGAGCAACGTGTAGAGTTAGACCAAAATTCCTGACATACCACTGCAATAGATGTGTTATTTTATTTTTATGGACATATATATATATATATATATATAAATAATTTGTGTATATCTACTCTTAGTTAATTATTATTGTATATATCTTTTTATTTAATTGCTGATTTTGTTTTTGTAGGTTACAATTTGTTTCTTTTGGAGCAGTGCAACGATGGAATTTGCACTTCCCCCTAAATTCAATCTAACACCAGGTGGACCACCTATTTGGGTTTCATTAGCAAAAACAAGTTATTATGGATTTAAGCCTACAGTTTGTGCTCTTTGCAATTCAAATACCCAAGATATTTTGCAATGTTTTGAGAGAGAATATTTTCCAGCATATGTGAACACAATAATATGAGGAACGACTCAAAGAGGCATTGGAACAATACCTGCTCAGAATCCTAAACCCCAAGTTTGCAAAAGCATCTTGAGCATTATTTTGAGCAGTCTAATGTGCCACAAGGGCTTTCGGTGGAGGACAAGATCTCTGAATTGTTGGAATCAACTAAGTAGTACATAGAAATAACCAATGAAGGATTTCAGATTCAAGCATTAAACTGTGGGAAAAGCTTTGATGATCAAGATGAGACTAGTACAAAAATTAAGAAGCATTCTGCCATTTATTGACGCCCAAAGGAGGAAACTCCCCTTGATGATCCTGAAATTTCTCCAGAACCTGTTTTAACTGAAGTCCATATGGCACACATACCTTATCCAGAGGCTGCAAAGAAACCAACCAAGTTCCCGGAGTTCATCATAACTGACGTGTTGCAAGGGGTTATTCATACAAAGTCAAAATTCGATGATTCCCATGATCAGATTTCAAGCACTCTAACCACTTTGGATACAGGGCAGACTATTGACAAAAGAAATTTGGTTTCTGAAATAAACAAGCCAAAACAGTAGAGCCCATCAAATTTCAAAAATGTAAGAGCCAATTTTACAAGCAGGGTAAATTCTACAAGAGGAAGCACCCAACATTTTGTGGCTGCCAGCTTCCTCATAGAGAACTTCAGCAAGTGCAGAAATTATGGGTGTTAAATACAAGGTTTAAGTCAGTTCGACAGATGCACAAGTCTCGCTGGAGGGAATCCTATTTGATTACAACAAAGTTTCATTCACATAAAAGGCCAAATATGAAGGATTCAACCACTCATCTAAAATGCATAATCGATAAACTTCTCATTATGTACCTACTTTTGCCCTATGACGCTGCTATAGAGTGGTTGATTCTAAGAGAACAAGTGACAGTAACCATCAATTCATTTCTCTACGTCTAGTTATAGCCGTTAACTAAAATGCTAATTGGAAGGCAACCCAATTTTTCTAACTTTTTTCTTTTTATTTCCGTTTATTTTATTTTCTTGCTTTCATTTCATTTACAAAAATCATAAAACCAATAAAAAAAATCAGAAAATTGAGAAAACAAAAAAACAAAAAAAAAGCGATTTTTATTTCTTGTTATTTTTCTTTCCTTATCTAATTAGGTTTTTGATTTGTGATTGCAGGTTGCATTCGGATTCAAAGTCGACCCTAAACATCCACTATACGCACACATTTGACTGAATCCTGCATTTAGTAGCATTCCCACATTCACCTCATGGCAGTCAAATTCAAGCAAAGGATACAGGACAAGCACACGCAGAGGTCCAGGGATATACTCACAGTGGGGTCGCTAATGAAGTCCTCTGCATCGCTTGGAACCTTCTCTCACTCAATCTCTCCCTCACATTTTATTAAAAAAATTCCATTACATTCATGTTTGGGGGGAACCAAGCAACACAGAAGAAGGCCATTGATTAACTTCAGCACTCAGATCCAGATTCATGCAAGTATTTTTTTCCATGCATCCATCAACAAAGACATGCACACATACAACAAATGCAAGCTGAAAGCCTCAGATCCAGATTCATGTAAGTGGAGTGGCTCTGAGCTCGAGGTGCAAATTTCTTGAGAGAGGGAGAGCCTCTCAAACGGCTCTAGGTTGGAAATGACAAATGCAAGCTGAAGCTTAAAACAGAGATCTTAGGGTTAGCCACACATGTAGGTTTGCCCATGTTTTTCCCATTGCTTTCAGGGCCCAAGTTTGATGCCAGGTCCAATCTTTCCTTTTCCTTTGTGTTCCTGTCCATTTTATTTATTTACTTTACTTTTGTTATTTGTTTTGTTTTCTTTATTGTTAGTTTGGTTGTGTTTTGTCTAATTTATTGTGTCCTAGGTCCTTGCTCGTCTTTGTTTCTTTATTTATTTTTTTTTTTCCACACCTTGAGGACAATATGTGATTTAAGTTTGGGGTAGGAAAGTAAAATTCTAGGTTGTTAATTTTTGAG